CCAGCTAGCCACTCTTCGGCATGATTTGGAAAACTCAGCTGCATCTCACCAGGTATTTAAAATGTGACACTGGTTTGGCAGTGACCTGAGGATGGTCTATGGCACCATGTGTACCACACAGGTCTACAGGCAGTGGCATCTGCCCCCTCACCTCAAACCCCATAGCCAAGAGAATGCCAGCAGGTCCTCATAGTGACCCCAGAGGCCACTTTCCCAAGTTCCTCCTTTGAGCTGTTTGAGAATCTGCAGCAAGAACAAAACACAAAGCCTTTGAAATCCAACCCCTTGGACTAGGATTCCTGGCCTGCTGTTTCCCATTACACTGGCATGTTATCTGATGAATCGAGGGGACAGGGACCCAACCATTGAACTCTTCACTCACCCACTCAGCCTTCTGGCAATAATTCTGGGAAAAACTCCGGGAAAGAGCTCCCAGGGTAGTAACTGGCCAGGTAGACCCACTAAGGCAAATGGAGAAAATGGAGCAAGTAGAGCAGGCAAAAACCTGGTGTTGGCCTCTGGTTATCATTCGTGCTTGGTACCTCCCTTTGTAGCTGACTCACTAAGGCAGGTTCACAAAGCAGATGGACACAGATAGGATCCATCACTAATCAGCACTTCTCAAAAGTAGTCCTAGGGCCTAGAGAGATGGCTCTACAGTTAAGAGTGCTTGCTGAGCAATAAAGAGGGTCAGAGTTCAAATCCCAACACCAGGCAATAAGCCAGGTGCCCCACATATGTCTGTAACTCCAGTTGCAATGGGAGTATTGCCCTAGACTGTCCAAGAAAACATGAGCCCCAAGTTCAACAAGAGACCCTGCCTCAAAGAAATTTGGTGGGGGGAGGATACCTGCTGTCTTCTTCTGGCCTCCAAAGTATGTACAAGTATGCATGGGTGTATACACATACACAAGCATGCACGCATGTGTGCGCGCACACACACATACACACACACACACATACACACAAATGAACAAATGACTACTTTCTTAAGTGGTTTAGGGCTGTAGCACCAGTAGCAGCTAGGAACTAAGCCCAAAACTTAGGGGCAAGACTTTCCAGTGAGTAATCCAGAATTCACATGGGCTTCCCCTAGCCTTCCCGGGGCTCCATGGAATCTATGACACCTAAAGTGTCTAGACCTGATGTCCCTAACCCTGTATGCTATACAAATCATGATATTTCTCTCTGTGATAAACACTGGGAAGTACTTCTGAAGATGTCAGGGGTATGCCCTGTGAAGGCAGAAGTGAAGGCAGGAAAGCCAGGCACCACCCCCCAACTCAGGCTGCTCTCCAACTCCCTTCACTAGGGGTCATGGGGTAGACTGGGTTAGGGATTGTCCCAAGAGGCAAAGGCACCAGCAGAAGAGATCTAAACCCACCCTCCACGACTCTGAACTGAGTTCCATGCCAGCCGTCTCAGGGCAAGACAGGCCAAAATCCTGAGCCGTCCTCAAACAACTGCCCAAGAGATTGAGCTCAGGAAGCCCAGTCAAGGCTGGGAAGTGCTTGGTCAGTCGGTAACAATCTGTTTCCAAAAGCGGGCAATGAAGAGATTAAGGGGTGCCACTGGTGGGAGGGGCACAACGAGAAAGTCAAAAGCAGATATCAAGGAGCATTCCAGTGGTCTGGGAGGGTAGCGGCTGTGCCTAGGGGGTAGTTGGGGCCCTTCTTCTTCAGAAAAGTCGCCTTGTGGCCCCCATACTAGCCGGGACCAAGAGCCAAGACCAGTGTCACCTCCTTTCCCCTTCAAAGCCCCTTCACTCATCACCTTGAATGAGTGGCCCTTTGTACTTGAAAGGACAGCGACCTGCATGTGTCCCAATCCTCTGATGAAAACAGTCAGCCTCTGACCCTACAGGAATGCTGTATCCCTGTGGGGCAGGGCAGGGCAGGGCACTGGCACAATGGGGATATGCCTGTGGCCCTCCCACTTCCCCTTCCTGATGCTTCCACTGTGCCAAGGCAGCCCCTGCTCTCTTCCTCAGTCCCGTTCAAAGGCTTGCGTGCAATGGGCAGCACGCCTAGACTCCAGGTATGCCATATGTATCTCAGGTGATCAGAATCGTAGGGCCAGGCTGTGGCTCTGGCCCCAGCCACTTCGATATCGGGGAAACAGATTCCTTTTGAGACAGCACCAGCCATGAGCACCAAGGATGATGACAGTGAAAGCTAACACTAAAAAGTTATCCATGCTGGGCTCCAATCTACCATTGTCCACCTTACAGATGACCAAGTAAGTCGGATAATGCAGCCGAGTGTATCACAGTTAGCCTGCAGCCTTGCTCCAGAACTCGTGTGCAGAACCACTGTGACATACACTACATGCCTGGAAAAGCAACCAGAACCTCGTCTCCCTCCCAAATGCTGCCGACTGTTTCCCTACTGCGCACTAAGCTCTCCCAGTCACCACTACAGACTCTGAGACGAGCTGGCCAAGTGAGCCAGAGGCTTTGACCAGTGACAGCCCACAGGCCCTGCAGAGCACAGCCCCAACCTGGGGTACTACAAAATGCTTAGGAAGAAAGGGATGGGCTTTTCCCAACCCTAGCCTGGGTTGCAACCTTCCCTGAATGCAGTTTGGATGAGGTGTCAAGGACCTACCCAGTGCCTCGGAGACAGGGACATCTCTGCTCAGTGTTCAGACTGGCTATACCACACAGGGGTTGCGCAGGTACTGCTGTTGTGGGCAGCTACCCGACACCACAATGTGGCCGTCCCAAACCCCCCCACCCACACCTGACCATCCATGCCCTCTTCTAATTCTTTTCCATTCTCCAGCTCCTGCAAAGTCAGCAAACTCAGGGACATCTCTGCTCAGTGTTCAGACCGGCTATATTACACAGGGGTTAAGCAGATTGTGGGCAGGCACCCCACACCACAACGTGGCCACCCCAATCCCTCCCATCACACCTACTTACTTGGTTCTGATACAGAGCTCAAGGGGTGGGACAAGGTCTCTACAGTTGTCCTCTGGGGTGTTCTTGGTGGTATCTAGGGAGGAAGGAGAGAAAAGCACTCACATCATTTCAGGATATGCACTCCTCCTAATAAGGCCAGTACAGGCAACTCCAGGGAGCCAGCCCAACCCTTTGAGCATCATGCTCTCAGATGCATCCTCCCTTCTTCTTGGTCATTTGTTCTTACCTAGACAGTGCACTGGCCTCTCATCTCCAGCCTCTAGCAAACCCAAGCCCTACTTTTGTAACCGCAATACTCTTTCCTAAGAACACATCTGGTCTCATTATTCCTCTGCTCTAAAACCTCCCATGACTCCCTACTTCCTTAAAAGCAAATCCAAACCTATCAGCAAAGCTCACAGGACACTTGTATACGGTCTTAACTTCACCTTCTGCCCTTAGTACATCAAGTGTTCAAGGCCCATCCATGCCTCTCTCTTGCAGGCTGGCCAGCCTAGCATCACTCTCTGGCCCACGTGAGCATCTCAAAAAAGTATGTGAAGGCTGGTTATGGAGCAGCCTGGATGCTCCCTGAAGAGATGGGTCAGAGTGTCTTACCCACAGTCAGCCGAATCTCCTCCTGCTGGTTGGCCAAGCCATCGTAGTAATACAGGTCAAAGAGCCGCTCCGCCCTCCAGTCGGACAGGAGTTCTGGCTGTAGGCTGAAGAGAACGCTGAAGTGGCTCTCGCTGCACACCACCCAGATGGGGAACCTCGGAGTCTTCAGGAAACAGCCGACCTGAAGGAGGGAAGACCTGATGCACACTGTGCTGACCCTTGGTGTGGCACTAGAAATCCCTCCTGCTGCCCAGACACACCTTCTAGAGCTGGCTCCCTCACGAGTATTGCAGGGAATTCACACACAGCAGCAGCATTGGTTCCAGGTGACGTCCATAACACAGCCCACCGTCCTCTAACCCACTCTTCTCCTCCAGTCTCTGCCACTCCTCACTTGCGTGTGGCTCAGCCATGGCCTCCTAACTGATTCTTGCTGCACTTCTCACTGTCACTCAGGTCCTCTATCCCTGGGCCTTCCCATTCTGTGTCCTTCCTTGGGAGAGCTGTACCACCCCAGTTGGTACGTCCCTGCCTCTTTCTGGTTCCCAAGGGCATGTCACTGAGCAACTGGCTCCTCAACCACAGCACCATAATCCGTCTTTTGCCTGGAGACACCAACACATGCACCCCTACCAAGAGCTTCCCCAGTGTGTAAAGAAATGATTGAAAAATGAAGGCCCTCAGAACTAACACTGGACTTCACCCAGAAATATGCATTGAGGATAGGTAGGACTGGGGAGCCCTGGGGAGCTAGGAAAGAAGGGTATGAGTGAGCAGTCTGTGGTATCAGGTTGAACGTGTGAGAAATTCAGGGTGCAGTGGGCTGTTTGGTGAGGGAGTCTGGAGGAGGAGGCCAGGGCAGCACCGGAACACGGAGCAAAAAGTCTCTCTACAAGTTTCCAGCCAGAGACTCTCGTGGCTGGCTAAGGATGTATGGGAACAAACCAGAGACACCCAGCACACTGGCACAGGGCTTCCTCCAAAGAGATATCCTATTCCTGACCCCTTGTGCAGGCTGCCCACTACCCGCTCTTCTGTGAGTGCCCCAGGTGGCACCTCGCCTGCCTCTGTTGGCTATTCAGCTATGTTGAGCTGGTCCTGCCTAATCCACAGCCTCCCCCAGGAGATGAGATATTTGCTTCTCCCGGTGTTTACAGCCTCCGTTGTGGATTAAGGAAAGAATGGAAGCTATTTTTCCAATGGGGAGAAGGGCATACTTGCTCTAGGACCCACCAAAGAATCGTGAGGCGGCTACCACCTCAGAGGTAATGCTGGAGGTACCTGGGACAGTGGGGCTGCATTCGGGAAGTCCTCCATGAAGGACTTTCCTATTAAAGTGGGGCACAGGAAGATCAGTTGCTCTCTTATCTAAAATAAAGCCCCTCTTCGCTCAGGCAGCCCTGTGTGACACTCAGCCTAACTCTCAGCTCTGTGTCACCCAAATGGAGCGCACGCAGGCTTGCTCACATTTGGGCATGTCTGACTACTGCATAACCCAACTTAGCTTCCCTTTCTGTGCTTCAAAGAGGCTGTTCATCGGAGGCACGGCCTGGGACTGGATTCACTCACAACAGGCAGGGAAGGAGCCTCAAGCCAGCCATGGGCAGGCCTGGGCACCATCAGCTCCTGAATTTTCCAAATGAGGGACAGAGGGCAGCTTGCCATTTATAAACAACAGTCTAAAGATTAAGAGCAAAACACTGCCCAGAGGGCTTATAAATGAGTGGACTCATTCACAAGCCTTTTCCACGAGCAGACATTTTCCAGAGAAACTTCCTTAGGGGTCTCAGGGAGCTGGGCGTGCCCTCTCCTGAGGGCCATGCTGCACCATCACAAGCTGCTTTTATTTGTTTTTATCATTATGAACTTTTAAACTCATTTTTAGTGTTGAGGAATAAACTCGGGCTATTGTAGTACAAAAAAAAAAGAAAACAAAACAAAAAAACCCAAAACTGTGCTCTGCCACACTCCTAGCTCCTGAGATCTTATTTTAATGCTGTTCAGATTTCTCCACATCGACAAGTATATACTATGAGTTTTGATAAACACTGTACAAGTCAGTAAGAATGGCCTTAACAATGACCTGATTCTGAACATGCAAACGGGCAGCTTTTGAATTATGCTAGAGGAGGTAGTATATCTCAGGAGAATAGCTTCCAGAGCCAGCATTTTGAGGTCAAGGATTTGAGGTCTTTTAATTTGCTCTGGCATGTCAAGTCTCCTTCCGTCATTGCTTGCGCCTTTTACGTCTCATTCTTGTGGACCTGATAAACAAACTGTGAGGTTAATGCAATTTGCATGTCTTGATTGCTAATGTGATGTGAGCAATTTTTCATGCATTTATTTGCCAAATGACTGGTAGATTTCTAGATTTTTATCAATGAACAACCAATTGCTACAACACTCTCGGAGTTTTTGTTGTTTGGGTTAATTTTTTAGCTTTTGGTTTTGGGGGGTAGTTGTTTATATATTGTTGTTATTGTGAGACAGGATCTCCACGTGTACCCCAGGCTAGCCTTAGCTCTAGATCCTCCTAAGTGCTGGAATTACAGGCATATATCACAAGCCTAGGTCTCCTGTAATATTTTATATTAAGTAAACTAACCTTTCTCCATTCATTTGAAACCTAGGGACAGAAGGGAAGGGAGGTGGTATCAAGAGGGTGAAGACTGACAGGCCCCACCTGGTCGTTAGGGGGAGAAGAGGTCAAGACCCAGCCTTGAGGACTTCTTGAGAGAAAGAGAAGGTGGAATCTAGAATTCCATCTGTAGAGGACTTGCCACAGGACAACACAAGAAAGTATCCACTCTCCACAGGGGACAATACTCCCCAGTTTGCCCAGCAAAGGGGCCGTGTGGGTTCAAGGGATCTATGAGAAAACAGCATTGGCCCCAAGTTTCTCCAGCAGTCACTTCATTCTGAGTGAAGGGGTGGTCTTAACTATTTTCCCCATCATTTGTCCTCTACTGACCAAATCAAAATAGTTTATTTTTTTCACAGGAAGCCTGGACCATAGGAAGACATCAGGACCGTGGTTAGCCTGGAGTCTAGGAAACTGGCCAAGCTCATCCTGTTCAGGCCATGGACGGTCAGGCTGGAGATCACTGGAGCTCCCAGGCTCTCAGGGCTTCTCCTTGGCCACAGGGTCAAATTGCTGCTTTACTCCTGACAGCAACACAATCAGAAAGGAGCTGTCCCCTTTCCTCTCCAGGCAGTTAGACCCCACACATCTGCATTTCATGAACTGGAGGTATCACTCAGATAGGGGATCAGGAAGAGGTTCATCACATGGTCCATAAACCAGCACACCTAAACAAGAGGCCACATAGGAAGGGTGGGACAAAAATCCCGGCTCCTTCCCACTCTGCTAAGTCATTTACCTAGCACACTGGAGGGGGGGGGCCATAAGGTAAGCCCTGCTTCCTTAACTAGGCTCTCTTGGTGTCTGAGTAGTCTCAGTATCGTGTAAGGCTCCCATTGCCCCTCGGGACAGTGCTCTCCTCAGTCACAGAACCATGGACCACATGAAGCCACTGAGCGAGGTTCTAAGAAGCTCTGAAAGCGACTGAGACAACAGGTCTGAGCAAGAGCAGCCCTACCCGATCATGGTGCTGTCACTAGGGCCCCATCAGCTTCACTTAAAGTCCAGGCCTTTGCAAGCTTTCCTTCTCAGAGTAAAGGAGGCAGAGGGACCACACCCCAGCAAAGAGGCCAAATGAAGCTGTGTGGGCTGAACTGTGCCCCCTCAAAGGGCATGCAAACCCAAGTGCTCTGAATCAGACCTTCTCTGGAACTGGGGCTGCTGCACATGCCAGTGGTTAAAAAGAGGTCATCCCAGAGCAGTGTGCCCTGAAGCCAACTGAGGTCCTCAGAGACAAAGACACAGGGAACAATCAGCCAAGTGGGACAGCAGAGGCAGGGCCTGGAGCACTGCATCTATAAGGCGAGAAAAGCAAGGAGTGCTAGAACGCACTACCCGTCAGGGGAGGTGCTCGAAAGGATTCTCCCCGCCGCCTTCAGAGGAAGCCCAACTAGCTCACACCTTGGTCTTGACCTACCAGGGTCTAGCCCTGTGGAGGAGGCACCTCTACTGTTTCAGCCACCCCATCTGTAGCATTTTGTTGCAGGAGCCCGAAGTAAGTAATGCAAAGCCTAAAATGTCAAGCTCCTGCCTCCAGAGAACACTCTCCCTCCTCCCTCAACACACTGCACACATGCATGCATATGAGTACAAACCACACACACACACACACACACACACACACACACACACCCTAGATACAGCCACTCTGATGCACAGCCACATTAGAAACCCTTAAGAGTTCTTTTCAGCTATCCTTCCTGGTCTCCAGAATCTGCTGTTTGAATCTGAAGTGTCTGTGGCACTGGCAGCAAAGTCATATTTCTTCTTGTCTGCTCTGTATTCAGGCTGGACCTGAACTCCAGCCAGATTTGGGAACTAGAGACTAGCTTCCCTTCCTATCTCATGGGTCCAGGGAACAAGGCTTCTGGGGCTCCAGAGTGCGTGTGGGTACCTGGCAAACATTGTAATGTTCAAAGAGAGATAAGAAACCGATGTCGCTGCGTGCCTCGATGCCTCGGAGTAGCGTGGTGTTCCCATCGCCTGAGTCGAGCTCCACTACATCATTGAAAACATTGGACACGGCTCTCCCGGTCAGGAGAAGATTGACGAGTTCCTGTTGATGAGAGAAGGGGAAGCTGTGTCAGATCTCTGAAATCAGCCTCGGGAGGGTGGAAGGGAGGCTGGGAACTAGGAGAAAAGGGTGGAGGAGGAGAGAGACCAAGAAAGGCAAGAAAGGGAATGAGACAGTAGGGCCTTGATATTTCCACAGGCTATGATGGGGGAAGTCTGCCAACGACTCCCAGGCACCCATCAAAACACCCTGAGGGACTCAGCAATCTATCCACAAGCATTCCTTGAACACAGACTACACAGGAGGCTGTCCTGAGTCTCAGTACTCGGGAGATCTTTGAGTCGTTACAGTGCAGCTCTATGCTCTGGGCCAGTTAGGGAAGTCAAGGATGTGTCTGTGCAGTTGAAACCAAATGCAGGATATGAGAAGGATTATAAAAATGTGTGCACAAGGTCTTCCCTGCTCCACAAAGACACGCAGCCACATAACTAAGTGAGAGTAGCTTTATTGGCAAGTGACCTCTGGGAGGGTCTTGAAAGATCATGTTTTTAAAAACAAGCATTTTAATGTTTGAAATAACTTTAGCTTCAATAGAAGTGGCAAATATAGTCCAGAGAGTTCCTGTGTTCCCTTTACCCAGCTTCCCTCAATGATAACATCTCACAGGACCCAGCACATCTCACGACCAGGAAGCCAGCCAGTCCTGCACATGGCAGCACCAGAGGCGCCCCTGGTCTTACAGAGGTCTCACGGGGATGGTAAGGAAAGCAGGACAGGGGCAAGAGCAGAGGCAGGGAGGAAGCAAGAAGGTGGTATTGAGCTTGCCCCAGATACTAGGTATCCAGCAGCCCTGTGGCTCACGCCACACATCCGGTCAGTCACCAAATGTGTAACCTCGGACCTGGAGGCAGTGTCAAGTGCAGTGTGGCAGCTCTGGAGTCTCCATCTCTGGGAAGACAGTGTATCACTGAGGTTGGAACTCCGTGTCCCACCACTGGTTAGGAATAAAGAAACCAAACCTGACAGACATGAAAGAACTTGTCCTGGCCACATAGCCAGAAAGTGACCGAGCTGAACTGTCACTTACATCTGCTGAGTACATCTCTGCCACCCTTGGTGCCACTCTACATCTCTGCCACCCTGGCTACCCAGGCAGCAACCCTGCCTAGACAAACACTCCAGCTGAAAGGTAGTAGCTTCCAAGGACGCTGGAGAAGAACTCTGACGAATCCACCCCTAGCATTCAGACAAGCAGTCCCTCTGTGTTACCCTCCCCCAGCAGGGCTGGCATTGCCAGTAAGGCAAGCAAGCACGCAGCTGTCTCCTAGCCCACAGGAATGGCTGCGCCACCCTCCCCAACCCAAGATCTGCAGGGCAGAGTTCACAGAAATGCTTCCCCTTGAATTGTGAAATTCATGTTCCAGGTACATGAACCTTCCATTGGTGCTAATACCCTTGCTCCAGTGACAGTTAGGCCTCTATTGATGGCCACCAAGGGGTTCCCATTGGAAGGAGACAGTGAAGGGCCTCATTGTGTCCCTGCAGGGGAAATGATAAAAGAATTCAGAGGAAATAACTGCTCTGGGATACTGTACCTCATGTCCAGAAGCTACCAAGAAAAGTACAGTCTTTTTTTTTTTTTTTTCAAAGGTGGAAAGTTTTTCCATCTGGTTTGCAGTAAGAATAAAGGTCCCTGCTCTTCCATCTGGGAAGTGTTCAAAACATTCCTCCCAGCAGAAAGTGTTCTCGAGATAGGAGGAGTACCACGTACCTCCTGCCCTCGGTGTGATCACCCTGCAGTAGGAGAGCTCAACCACAATCTAGTGCATTGCTCCTCCAAGTGTGTGCCACAGACTGTTTCCTTCTTGGGGGTTCTGAGAAACTCAGCCCCTGTGGGGCTGGGGTGTGGTGGTGCATGGCTGTAATCTCAGCACTAAGGAGTCTGAGATGGGAAGATCTGGAACTCAAGGCCAGCCTGGGTTATATAGCAAGACACAGTCTCAAAAGAACAGAAAGAAGATAACCAAGAAATTCCCTAGCCTGAGGCCAGCCTGAGTCAGATCTTGCTTTACAACATGACCCATAGGGACTGGTGTGCAAATCAAAGCTAATCAGCCATGGACTTGGCTAAATGCTTCTTCCACAAGGGAGGGGACTGGAGTTCAGAGAGGGGAAAGATGCCTCAGCTCCTTCTGTGAGTGTCCAGAGAACAGGCTTGAACTCAGCCCAGGATGATGCTGGTTCAGCCTCCTCTGCCTCTAGTTTGACTCCTGCCTCTTGTCTAGGAAGCTCCCTTCTCCACCCTCAAAGAGAAGGCTCTCTTGGTGGGTGGATGGGGTATCAATATCCAGAAGGAGAGCAAGGTCACCAGGAAGCCAGATGACAGGACATTCATTCTCCATGGTCTTCTTCCAGAGAGAGGCAGAAGCCAACCCCATACCCCTCTTGTGGGTGTCTGTTAACCACAAACCTTGAACTTGCCCTTGTGTGGGACCAAGTTAGCTTTCCAGGGTTAGGCACAGGTAAGTCAAAGTCCCAGAACAGCTAGTTAGTTCCCAGCTCGTCAGAAGACTGTGAGTTCTGGACCCTGAATACAGAGAGGGCAACATGCAAACATGATCCACAAGGCCATGCTCAGAGGCCTTGGAGTGCTAGGAAAGGCATGCATGGAAGCTCAACACACACTGGACAGGCCCTTGAATGGGTATCTTTGGTGGCATTACCTGACGGAGCATGAGTAACAAGAGAGGCCAGGGCTGTTTTGTAAAGATGCAGAGGGAATGGCTGTGAAGATGCCCTCTGTAAGCGTAACTGATGTACGTGGCTACCCAGCCTGGGCTCTGTGCAGTTCAGACTTAAGTGGATCTATGTCCCACCCCTTAGGCATCCCCATGACTCCAAGAATACCTAAGTCAGCAGGTAGAAAGCATGCCAAATGTGGAAAACAAACTGAGCATTCCTCCCAGGTCTCCAAGACAGTGAAGCCCGGAAGAACTTAATGAAAGCTGCATGGAGGTGTTTGATCAGATGAACAACGAAGAAAGAAACTCAAGAAAGGGAGGAGCTAACTGGCATCCCCTCTGTAGGCCCCACTGCCTCCTGACCTGTGTGCAGTATCCGTGAGCTCCAATCAGATGGCTGGTGGGCACATCAAAGTCCTGGCGGACACTAGGAAGCACAAGAGGGAGAGACATTAGCATGTTTGTGCCTCGCTGAGGAGCCAGGTGCTCTCTCTGGGCCTGGACTATGGATTCCAGATTTGCTAGGAACCTAAGCATTCCACACTGTGACTCTGTGGAGGTGTTACCATCAAATGGCCTCCATTTTGGTAGCACCAAAATTTACTGAGTGAAATGTAACAGACCGTTGTGCTGTGAAGCCAATGTCTAAATTCATACCACAATTACCACTGCTAATGGTGAGGATGGAGGACCTGCCCTACCTCTGGGCCTTAGGCAGCCAGCCTGTTCAAAAGGAGGGATTGGTTGGAATGGACTCCAATGACTCTGCTGTGGTTCCAATGTGGTTTGAGTATGTCTCTCAAGGGATCATGTGCTAAAATACAACTCTCACTGAGAGGTAGCAGGAGGGGAAGAAGTTGCAAACATGTATGTGCACTCGTGGAGGTCACAGGTTGATGTCAGATACCCCCTCTACAACTCTCCACCCTTCTGTTTTTTAGATGTACTTATTTTGTGTGCATATGTGTGCAGGTGTGTATATACATACAAATACACGCACATGTGTGCACCTGCCAAGAATTTTTTCTTTCCTTTTTCCATGTGGGTTTGGGGATCGAACTCAGGTCATTAGTCTTGGTGGCAAGCACTCTCCCACTGAGCCATCTTGATAGCCTTCGCCTTATCTTTTTAAACATTTCCTTTGAGGATTTCACATGCTCATACAATGAAATATGATATCTACTCCCCTTTAATTCCAACTCCTCCAAGATCCCCCAATCACACCCTTGCCAACTTCATGTATTATTATTATCATCATCATTATTATTATTATTATTATTATTATTATTATTATTATTATTATTACTATGTGGCCAAGAACCATTTGTTCAGAACATAGGAAAGTGGCAGCCATGGCCACAGACCACAAGAGGATGTGGAAAGATGCTCAGAGAGGTGGGCACTGGGGACAGGTGAGGTAAGAGTCTGGTTCCTAGGCCTCTATGACTACACACAGACCTGGATATATACTGCCCAGGGCCTGGTATGCTTCCTACATTCATACCCCAGAAAGAGCACTGAGTTGGGGCCAAGAGTAGGAAGGACCCTTGGACCGAACATTTGTTTTTCCTGTTAGTGGAAGAGGAGAACCTGGTCTCAATAGATGTTTTAAGTTCAAGATTCCCCACACACTCAAAAATCCAAAACACACACTCTAGTCCTCTGCTCTTCCAAGGTAACTGCAAAAACTCAAACTCCATCATCCTTGCTAGAAAACCGTGTATGTGTGTGTGTGTGTGTGTGTGTGTGTGTGTGTGTGTGGTTTTTAACTGAGGGTAAAATGGGCAAGTGGTGTTCAGGAGATGGGCCTCCGATAGCATCATAGAGACATGAAAAGAACCACAAAGACCCAGGGTCCTCTGGGAAGGCCTAAGCTCACCAGAAGCCGACCAGCAAGCATAGGAGAAAGCCAGCGAGGGGTGACTCATGGCCAGCACTGCTGGGCTGGCGCTAGCTGAGGCAGAAGAATTGATGGAAACGTTCTCTGTGGCATATACAACATCTTCTGATGAGAAGAAAATAACCTCAAAGCAGTCCTGGGGGGACTGATAAGCATCACTGGCCACCGGCCACCTGTGGCTTTCAGAAGCCGTCCGATCTTCATAAGCTCTCGGCCGCGTGTTCACCCAGCAGGCTAGGAGGCCTGCGTCAGCTGGGAGAAGAGGGACCAGCAGAACGGACAATGGGAGGAAATGGTAATTGCATCCTTAGGTGCAAACACGATGGGAAATTCAGAAGCTGCTTGGATCTTAAAAGGGAGGGACATGTGTATTTCACATTAGGGCACTCGGGAGACGCCAAGGAGCAGCTTATGGCTTAGGAGATTTACAACTTTGGCAAATAGCAATGCCCAGTCCTCCCCTGGGGAGATCTGACAGGGCGCACGTGTAAGGAGTCCTGGGGCAGAAGCCATCCTCCTCTGCTCTGGTTGTACAAGAGAACAGCTCACACAAGCCTGACCCAGCCCCAAATTCTAGCTCCAGCCCACGGCAATTGCAAGCCTTTCTTCCCTGGGTCTCCCACTCTGGAGCAAAACGGTCTTGGTCTGAATTATGTCTCTCCAAATCCATACACTGCATCCAGTCTGAAGAAGCAAACCTGCCTAAATCATCCAAGTTAATCAGGAGACTGAGGCAGAAGGATTGAAAGTCCAAACAAGCCTGGCGTGGTAGTGCATGCCTTTAACCCTAGCACTCACAGGGGCAGCTTTATCTCTGAGTTTGAGGCCAGTCTGGTCTACAAAACTAGTTCCAGGACAGCCAAGGATACACAGAGAAACTCTGTCTCAAAAAACAAATGAAGTGGAGGAGGAAGAAAAAGAAGAAAGTCAAAGGTCAGCCAGGGTTAGAGCAAGATTGTCTCAAATTTTAAAATGGAAAGAGGATTTGCCCAGCAAATGTGAGGCTCTCAGCTCAATCCTTAGTAACAGTGTGTGTGTGTGTGTGTGTGTGTGTGTGTGTGTGTGTGCGTGCGCATACACTCTGAAACCCCAACAAACCCCAGAGTTCTCAGAATATGCTTTTAGGGAAAGTGAGGGCCTTTAAATGGGTGCTTATATTAAAATGAAGCCAGCAGGGTGGACCCTGATCCAACCCGGGCTGCAGAGCTGCAAGAATGAGGTTCTGTGTCCAAGTGTTCCTGGCCTTGTTGCACCAGTCTAGGATACTAGGACAAATGACATCCAATGTCACTGTAAACCCAGAGCTCTCCTACCACAAAATCTTCTGAGCAGAAGCCCACTTTATAAAAGCTAAGGACAGAGCTCCTACAGTGAATGCAAAGATGGGTTTTCCCCATAATTCTCACTCGGATACTGAGCCATAAAAGCTAAGAGGCCAGGGTCCACCTGAGCCATGTCACAGAAGCTGTCCTGTGCTTAGTCCCTTCAGCAAACCATGCTTTCCTGCATTGCAAAGTCAATAAGCACAGAGTGGGCAAACCTGCGTGAACCTGACCACGGGAGGAGGGACTCAGTACCAGATGCCCTCCTCCCAACTCCTCAGCATCTGGATGGGCCAGGACCAAGCCACCTGAGCTGTGGGTATCTGGATCACCTAGAGACAGGAGGCAACAGAAAGTTCTTGGGAGGGCAGCAAGGACCAAGCCCCTCAAACCCTCTCACCATCTGGAGGTCCCTGAGCCACTGTGTTGTGCCCAGGAACAGAACAAGAAAACTCAGGGTTGGGAGAGGCCTCAGGGCTCAGTGTTTGGCTGACAGAAAGCACAGGCTCTGGCAGAAGACCGGTTCAAGCTAGTGATGTGTACCATGCAAGATTCGAGGCCTGAAGCCAGTTTTAGAGCTCTGTCCCTTGTCGCAGGTCCCACAGCAGTTAGTGCTTCTGCCACAGAGCAAGCCGACAGCATGGGAGCTTCAGGACTGCAGCTTCAGATCCTCCCAAATGCGTTCTTCTCCCAAAGCTTTGAGAAGTCAGGAAGGTAAGACCCTCATCTCTCACTGATAGGGAAACTGAGGTCCCGAGAAAAGACTGGACTTTGTACTTGGGTATCAATGAGCAGGGCCAGTGTTCTAAGGAGCCTGAAATACAGCCAGACATTAGCCTGATCAGCCAGCTCCAGGCAGGCCAAACCCCTGAAGCTCCACCCAGGTTCCACCAACCGTGGCTCTAGCCAACTTGTCCCTTCACCCAAAAGTCTCCCATGTGAACATGGCATTTAGCACAGAAACTTCTAAATAGAAGGGAAAATAATAGGCTTGTGTAGCCTAGAGACATGGCCCCATCTATGGTTGCAACCATTTACCTGAACAGGGCAGGTTTGTGGCCAGTTCAGACTGGGTCTAACCAAGTTGACTAAGCTGTCTCTCCTGCACAGCCTGAATCCACAGTGATAGAATAAAAACCAGGGAACAGTTAGTGTTCTCTGGGAACTTCTAGAATGAGAACAAGAGCAGCTGGTCCCTGACCCTGATCTTTGAAGCACTAAGCTTTGTTGGACCAAAATCAGCATCCCTTTCCACCTGACAATTAGTCCTTGGGATCTGCAGGACGGGGTCTCCTGGGTGAGCCCCTGTAGCCCCTCCCAATGGCTGCATCCCTTCTGCACCCCTAACCTACCTCAAGGAGGTGAGTTTCGGTAGTGGAAAGGGCAGCTGTGATATGACACAGAACTTGGGCTCTAAGCTGGGGGTGCCTGGGTTCAAGCACAAAGGCTGCCATGAAAAACTTGCCCCTTCTTGGGAGTCTGTCTCCCCAGAGGCCTTAGGAGCACAGCGGTGTCTCCTTCTATTATGGGTTACTGTGAGAACAGAGTGAGATAAACTATATAAAGCCTCTGGCATGTGGTAAATGTCACTTCCTTTTTCCTACAATCACAACAATTAAAAACAGGAAAACAATGACTGAGAGGTCATGATTCCTGCAACCTCAACCATTCATGTCACAGCCAAGAGCCTGTGGTAAACGCAGGCTCCGGGAGGTTGAAATATAGCCGAGGACATCTATGAAGGATCTGGGGAATGTTTTTCCCAGGACGGCTCAGAGAGAAGGGACAGTGGTCAGATACTTGGGTGTTAGGCCTCTTCTTCCTCCTGTGCTGCGGTCCCCTGGGATAACAATTGCTACCCTACAGGGTTGTTATAAGGAGAAACCAGACCATGGATAATAAGCCTTGCATATTGCAAGAAAGCACCAGGGCACAGGGGGCGGGTGTCTAGGCACTTTTCCTCCCCAGGCAGTGAGAAGTAGTAGAGAATACTTTGGATAAGGAAGACACTGACAGTGGAAAGGCGCCTGTCTGCCTGAAGGAAGAAAAAGAAAACACAGGAACCCATGGCCTTCACTACTGCCCAGAGTACTCCCCCAAGGAACCAAAGGCCTTCACTGCTGCCCAGAGGACCCCCCAAAGAACCCATGGTCATCAGTACTGCTCAGAGTACACCCCCAAGGAACCCAAGGCCTTCACTACTTC